TAGGGTGTGTCCAGTGCACATGCTACAACTTCTTGGAGCCACAGGTGAGAGTAGAGTGACAGGTGGACACCAAAGGTGAATGAACATTCCTGGAGTTGGCTCAGGAAGCGCTCACACCAAAGGTGCTAATCTTCCCTGAACACCCCATACATTCGTTATAAACATCAGATAAGGTATGAAACAAGTAGACATATACTTAACTGTGATAGAAGAGACCTGGGACAGATTCCAAGTTAGAGGGTTTTCTGTGAATGGTGAAATCTCTGTGATCTTGTCCACTTATGATGTGTACTGTTTGCATCAAGCCTTGGAATATTATATAACTTCCTGGATGAGATCCATATAATAACTCATGTTGCCTTACGTAGGAAAAGCTAAGTGGATGAAGAACATCTGTTGCCAAGAGTATGGCATGCAGTAGATTGGACAACTTATAGATAAGTCAGCCCATCCGTGTGTATACATACATGTCTGGAACAGCTAATGTAAATGGACAATGAGGCCCAGAATTAAACAGGAGGAGAAAAGTGGGCTAGATTACCTTCAGGAAATGACAGAGCTTTTTTAATGACCCCAGACTTCTCTCAGAATTCAGATCCCATCTTTAAATTCTGTTGCTGGCTAGGAATCATGAAATAGTTGTAAACTATTGAATTCTGCTTTTAATTATCTAAATCTGATTTAATTACATTGTGAACTGTCTTAATTTTTGATTCAGCAATAGCCTCTCATTCCCCTTAAAATAATCTTGGCTGCCTTTCCCTGCATTATCTGTTTTGTGGGTAGTAACTGTAAGTTAATTTTGAAACTGGGAATAGAGATAGCAATTAGACTTGTGTTTTCATTATGATAGAGAACCTTCTGGTGAAGAAACTCAATCAGTGCAGGTTGGCACCTTCTCTGCAAATTAATAGTCTTAGAGTTGTCTCGAACATTGAAAGGCTACATAAATTGCCTAGTGTGTGTCAGAGATGAGACTTAAACTCAGGTTTTCCAAGCTTTTGAGGCTATCTTTCCGCTCAACTCTGGCTCAAGGAAAGCTTAATTAGAAAGATAATTATTTCGGAAAAAACTGATGTATCCGAAACCAAAAGAAAATAAAAGTTTTATTTGCATAATTTACTATTTGGCATTCTAATTATTACTGTTTCCCTTTATTAGAACACTTTATTTAAGTAATTGATTCTGCTGTCGTACTACCTTTTTTGTGCAGCTCATTTTTTCCAGAAACTTTAAAAGTAAAACATGCTGATTAGAGTAAGGTAGAAAGATCTTCCCAATTACTGAGTAATTACATGAAATTTGAGGTATTGAGTAGTTTAATTAAAATAACTTAGTGACTGGGGAAGTTATCAGATACTCTTGAGTGCTAGTTCAGTACCACTAGATTTTTATTTTTCAGGGTACTTTTTTTTTTAACATTTTTGACAAAAAATTATTTTTAATGCATATACATCTTATTTGTGTTCTGTGTGACTAGTCAGAGGATTATTTGTACATATTCTTTGTCAATCTCCCTGGGGCTTGTAAAAAAAAAATTATTACCTAGTATTATAAATAGGATCCTTGGTCCTCCCTAGATTCTAAATTAATGAGAAACTAATTGTTAACACAAGTTTTATTAGCCCCAGTTTCTTAAACTTTGTTTAAACTATTTAATTATTTTATGAACTTTGTACAGCACAAGATTTTTGAATTTTTAAAATTAATTTCATTTAGAAAAGTATTGTCAGTTTAGAAGTATATTTTAGTCATCATTGTGTTAAATGATCATGATTTTTCCCATTTAGGAATTTAAACTAAGAATATTTGCAGTTTTATGTTTTTTAATGAACTGTATTAGTGAAGATAATTCTTTTCATATAAAAAATGCATGTTTGATTAAAGACTAAAACAATGTTTTATGATGTTCCATCTTTACCTTTTCTTCATCACTTGTGAAATTATTGGTCATGTGTCCAAGATGAATGGTAAAGAGTGTTTTAATTTATAAAATAACATCTTGACTTTCCTTCTTATTGTGTGACTCCATAAAAGGTAATTTCAGGAAATGTACTTTTAATTGATAACATATTTCTAATTAGAATATCTACATTTTTCTTTTTCTCCTATTTTTCAGTATATAGAGTTGAATATAAGATCTTATAAGCTTATATTAGTAAATTTGCAATACAACTCTTCCTGTTACTTAGAACTTCAGAGTCAGTGAATGCATTTATTTTTCTTCACAGAGCAACTTGTGGTTGGATCTTATAGTCAGCCTGCAGAGACATGGGATAAAGACTATGATTCTTTTGTTTTACCACTACTAGAAGAGAAACAACCATGCTACATATTATACAGATTAGATTCTCAGAATGCACAAGGATATGAGTGGATCTTCATTGCATGGTCTCCAGACTATTCTCACGTAAGTGATTTTTATTAATACTGAAAAGAACTATCTCCTAGATATTTAGTGCTTTACCCTACATTAAGAAAAGCTGGAAAGAAATACTAATACCTGTAAGGGGAAAAAGAGAGAAATAAAAACTTTTGACTCTCATAGTGCTGATTTAGGCATATTGTAATTAGAAACAATCCAGCCCTTGAAATCAGTATGACTATTCATTCAAAATCTTAAAGTGTGTGGGGATTAGGAATAAATTCATAGGACCTGTTATAAAACAGAAAAATGCTTTTAACATTTTGATAATATAAAGAACATTTAAATGTAGTAGTTGCAAAGATTGAATATAAGGTAAATATACTTTTTGCTGGTGTTAGATTTATCTTTGAAAAAACTGATTTCTTGATTACCTAAATAGAATATAAAGTAAAATCACTATGAAATGCAAATTTTTTTAGACCCATTCTTTCATAAGGAGGACAGGAGGATTGTTGGGGATTTTTCCCTTTGATCCAGACAAATACCTTTTTCAAAGGGTCATTATTCTTTAAATCCCCAGCATCAAAGTCAGAAAAGAAAATTAGATTTGATTTAATGTTGCCAATTTATGAAGTTGTTTCTACCTCCTGGCAGGTGGTTAAGCTTAGTAGTATAGGGTAGACTATAATAGGGGTTTTTGTTTGTTTAAGATAATGTATGCTCTTTTTTAAAGTGAAAGATGAATGCTATTTCAACCATCTGCCCTTACCCCTTAAAATAGTTTTTTCATTTTGAATTTATCATCTTAGTTCATAAATTGAGAGAATTACATATAGATTGAGAATTTTATTATACTTAGAATTATATATTTTATGTAATTATCACTTTAAAAATTATTTCTGTTGAAAATTGAAATAATTATGATTAAGGGTTTTAGTAATTTCAGAGAGTATTTCCATTTGTAATTTGATGTCATCTATAGAATTCCTAATAAATTCTCATAAAACCTTAACAGGTTCGTCAAAAAATGTTATATGCAGCAACCAGAGCAACTTTGAAAAAGGAGTTTGGAGGTGGTCATATTAAAGATGAATTATTTGGGACAATGAAGGTACAAAATTTATTTTAAATTGAATGTGGTCTTTTGTAATTTTAAAGAATTACAGACATATTCTTAGGTTATAGTAAGTAATTACATGAATCTAGATTCATAAATCTTAGCTCTTCACTGGATTCTAAAATGAGGTCATGAACATAAAATAGGACTTTTAAAAAAATATGGTATTTCCTTTCGTGATAAACTGTTTGAAATTATATTACAATTTGAATAAAGAGAAAATGAATGTTTTAGTTTATATCTATTTTAGATTTACAAAATTTGTTTCTAACATGTAGGTGCCTGCTTGCTTATTTAAAGTCAGGTAAAACTAGAACAGTTGAATTATTCTTTTAGGATCTGTTGAAATTTTCTCCTTTTGTTGCTTTGTAGATGAGGGACTGCTAGAAAGCTACAGTAAGTGTAAAATGCTGAAAGGTAAAAAAAGTGGTCTTTATCACTTACAGTTTTGTTTTAGAAGCTAAGCTATTTTTTTTTTAGCCAATAAAACTAAGAATGGAGAATTTCCACTGTCACAAAGACTTTAAAATAAAATTACTATGAATTTTAACATCAACAAACAAGAATTTCACTATACAAAGGACAGAAAAGAGGACTTTTTTAAAATGTATATTAAATTTAACATGAATTACAAAGCTTTCCCTGATTGTGTCTAATTCGCAACTTCCCTCTGCTCCCTTCTGTTTTTTTAAATGTTTTATTGTTACTTTTTTTTATCCTTATCCTTTTCCCTCTCCCTTAACATTCCCCCCTCCACCACACCCAAACCAGAGGTGGGGAACATGGGGCCTCGGGCCACACGTGGCCCTCAAGTCCAGCCCTTTGACTGAATCCAAACTTCACAGAACAAATCCCCTTAATAAAAGGATTTGTTCCATAAAACTTGGACTCAGTAAAAAGGCTGCACCCAAGGACCTAGAAGACCACATGTAACCTCACGGCCACTGGTTCCCTATCCCTGCCCCAAGCCTTTCCATGTAACAGATAACTAGTCAAGCAAAGAAAGTCAACATGTTGGATATGTCTGAAAACATATATCTCATCCAGCACCTTTAGTCCATCACCTCTTCACTAAAAGGGAGAAAATATATTTCATTAGTCTTCTGAAATCATGGTTGATCATAGTTCTTAAGTCTCAGAGTTTTCAGTTATATAGTTTTATAGATATATAGTTATATAGTTTTATAAATTACCATATTCCCATTTTATCATTTTTGCAAGTCTGATGGGTATAAGGTAGAACCTCAGTTATTTTAATTTGCATATCTCTTATTAGTAATGCAAAGTTTTAAGAAATGTTCATGGCAGCTTAAAGAAGAAACAACATGTGTGGTAGAGAGGAAGTGTTTTGGAATTTTTTTACATTCTCTATATTTCAGAACTCAGTGAATTTCAGGAAGCAACATGATCTAGTGTAGAAAATACATGGTTGACTTGGAATCTAATCCTGTAAGTCATTTGATGTCTCCACTTTCTTACCATCAACTCTTTTTTTATTCTTTTGTAATCTGGCTTTTATCTCTATCACTCTACTGAAATTACTTTCTCAAAGGCAACTTGCAGTTTCTAATAACCTCTTTTTCAGCCTTCTTAATCTCTCTTCAGCTTTTGCTAATGTTCATTATTCCCTCTGTTTCCTCCCTACTTTATACTCTGGGTATTCTTTGTTTCAGAAAAACAACACTGTTCTGTTTCTTTTTTATGGCTTCTTCACTGGCTTTTCTTTCTGATTCATTAAAGTGAATGTGTTGCACAAAGTTCTTTTCTTTCCTTTCTACACTCTTGACAATCTTAGCTCTGCAGGTCACTCGCAATCTTTGTCTTTAGACTCCTCTCTCAAATTCCAGACCTACATTTTCAATGGCCTATTGTGTATCTGCATGTGAATATTCCACAGGCAACTAGAACTTAACACATCTAAAAGTTCTCTTTCCTCTAAAACATCCTTTGGAAAACTGTCAGTATAATCACCATTTGTCCAGATTTTAAAACTGGCAGCTATGGGATGTAACGGGTAGAGTCCTGGGCTTGGAATCTGAAAGTCCTTAGTTCAGATTTGACATCAAACACAGCTCTGTGATCCCAGACAAGTCACTTACTCTCTGTCAGCCTTAGTTTCTTCATCTGTAAAATAGGGATAATAATAATAACAACACCTACTTTCCAGGGTTGTGAATTAAATCAGATAATATTTGTAAAGCTCTTGCCCAGTGCTGGACACAGAATAGGCATTTAATAAATAATTGTTAAATGTAAATCTTATGTAAATTTAAAACTTTTTTATCTTTAGTTCTTTCTCCCCACTTTTCCATATCTAAAGAGTTATAAAATCCTGATTATTCTCCCTGTGCAGTATCTCAGACCTCTTGTTTCTTTCCTACCTTCAGTGCTTCACCCTTGTTCCTATCTACCTGGGCTTTTGGAGTTGACTTAAGCCATCATTTCTAATCTGTTCTGTCTGTTGATTATTTTTTTTTTTATATTGGTCTGTAATGGGTGTATTTTTTATTTCTGCTTTTTTTGTATTTGTTTATAATTTCTCTGTGCTTCAGTACATGGTTTATGTTTGTAAAGGTACCAGATTATGTTAAAGTAATATGTATTCTTTAATGTTTCCGTTCAGAAGATGCCACAAATCTATCAGATATAGCTTTAACACACTTTAGTTCTATATTTTCCTTTTTGTTTATCTTTGTTAAATTTGTTTAGCTCTGAGAGAAGAATATTAAACTTTCTGATGGTTAACTTTTCATTTACAAATTTGGTTCTTATTCTATTTGGTATATTTATCTTTAATATTTATGCTGATTCGTTTTTTGATACCTTTAAGCATAATATAGTTTCTTTGTAGTTTTGCTCTGATATTTAAATCCCTCCTCTAATACTCACTACCTGTGTGATTTTAACCAACTCATTTAACTATGCCTTAGTTTGCGCATTTGAGGGGATGGCAATAGATGTTTTCTAAGGTTCCTTCTGGTTGTAGATTTCTGATTGAGTGATATCACTGTGCTGTGCTCCTACAAAAACAATTGAAGATCTCATTTGTTTTTTGTTTTATTAAATCACCTATTAAAGAGGTAAATTTTGTCTTGGCCTCTCTGGATGTCAATTTTTTTTTTAAGCTGTGTTTCTTATATACATCAGATTATTGGATTTTTATCTTTTTTTCTTTATTTTAAATTTTCTTTTTTATTATGAACTTAGTAAATATCCACAACTATGACATTTCACTATACAAAGGATGGAATTGTGGATGAAACTGTGAAAATTTGTTAGGTATGTTTTTCCCTCACTATGTATTTAACATAGCAATTCCACCCTATTTGTTAGTATCCCCTACAAAAAAATAAAAAAAATAAAAATAAACTTCTGTTGTCCTCTGTTTATTTTTATGTTTTCTTTTTTCCTCTTTTAATATAACTTTCACTGCCTTCCATTTCCACCTTATATCTTCCCCCTCAAAAAAAAAAAAAGCCAGCTCTTGTAACAAATAATATTGTCACAAAAAACAAATCCATACATCGTATGATTCTGAGAATATATGTCTGATTCTGTACCTCAAGTCATTCTCTGCTAAGAGGAGAAAAATGAGTTGTCATTGTCTTCTGGAGTTATAATTAGCCACTGTTTTTATCATAGTTCTGAAGTCTTTCACAGTTGTCTTCCTTTACAACATTGTTATTGTGTAAATCATTTTCCTGGTTCTTTATCAGTTCATAGTGGCTGGCTTTTACTGAAACTATCTCTTTTGTCATTTCTTATTGTGCAATGATGTTCCATTACATTTATATACCATAATTTATTTGGCTGTTTCCCAGTTGTTACGCACCTGCTTTGTTTCCAGTTTTCTGCTACTACAAAAAGTGCTGCTATGAATATTTTTGCACATGTAGGTTCTTTTCCTCTTTGATCTCTTTGGTGGGATATAAGCTTAGGAATGACATTGCTGGGTCAAAGAGTATCCACAGATTAGTGGTGTTAATTAAAGTGCAAAACTATTTTCCAGAATGATAGGACAACTCTCCCAGTAGTTCATTAGTGTGCCTGTTTTTCCATAGCTCCTTCACCAATTTTAATTTTCTGTTTTTTTTCATTTTTTGCCAAAGTGATGGGTATGAAGTAGAACTTTAGAATTTTTGTTTTAGTTTTAATTTATCTTATTATTGATGATTTGGAACATTTTTTCATGTTTTTTTAGTAGCTTTCCTTTCTTATTTTGAGAATTCCCTGTTCATGTCTTTGACCATTTAAATGTTAGAGAACAGCCCTTGTTTTTATTTATTAGTATTGATTCCCTAATTATCTTTTCTTTCAGGCCATTATGAGAAAAACTTGCTACAAGAACTTTTCCCCAGTTAACAAGTTTCCTTTCTTCCCTTCTAAATTCATTTATTTTATGTAAAACTTCTTCAATTTTATGTAATCAAAATTTCCCATTTTATCTCCTAAAATATTTTGTTTCATCAAGAAGACATATTTGTATATATATGTGTGTATGTGTATATATATATATACACACACACACACAAACATATGCATATGTGTGTATGTGTGTGCATGTACGTGTGTGAAAGATTTCTCTTTCATATACCTACACATATATGTAAAAGGTCTCTCTCCTTCACCGTTTCCCAAAATTGTTTATGTTAAGACATTTTATATTTATCTCACATATCCATTTGGAGCTTATTATGTTATGTTGTGTGAAATGTTAGTCCAAACCTGTTTTTAATATTTCTTCATAGGGTCATTGAATCTTGTTTGCTTCATTATATTTTCCAGGGAGTGTAAGGTTTTAACATCTTTTTTTCCAAGCTATTCTCTCACTCCTGGACTTGCTTGTTCTTTTATAAACCTAATGGAAGTAGCTTTTCTGGAATAACAACTTTGAGTTCCCTCTTTTGTCCTATTTGTTTGTTACTCCATTTTTATATCTCACCCACATTCTCCTTTCCTTTTGTGAATTTTTAAATTTTGTTTTGTGTTAGTGCTTTTTTCTGAGCTTAGATATGGATTTGAGTTAGAAATATTAGTTTCTGAAGTATTGTATAGTGGGAATCATTTTTTTTTTCTCAAGTCCTTAACCATGAACAGTCATGACTCCAATGGCCAAATTACCATTTCTGGTTTTATGTTTCTATTGCTCTGGGTGCAGCTTGCTCCCAGGGACCCATTCATCTTGTCCCCAGCAGATCTGCTATGTGATGGTGGTTTTCTACTATTCCCATCCACCACCCCACCTAAGCTTCCCAACCCCACTCCATGAAACTGAATATAAGGCTCTTATCATAGATCTATTATAGACATACTACTTTCCCCTCCACCTCCCATGTGAACATTCTTTAATAGCACACCTTTGTTTACCAATCCCAATTTGTCCCTCCATTGCTTTTATCCTTTCCTCCCTCAAGGGGATTGCCTCATGCCTCTTTTGCTGAAGTTCTACCATTTTATTATTGATTAGGCTCTGCTTTGTAGGATAGGTTATTTTGAGTTGTAGTTTGAGCTTTTCTTTTTTTGTTTGCTTAATATATTATGACCTTTTTGAAGTTTTACTTATTTTTTCTTATATGAATTTGACTATTGGTCTCTGCCTGGGAATTATGCTTATTCTTGTACCTTTTATTGTTTTCAGCCTTTTTCTTTTATTCTCAGGAGCTTATTTGTTTCTGGCTTCTCTTTTTACTTTGAGGCATCTTCTCCCTTCTACTGCTGCCATAGATCCCTGAAATTGAGCATCCTCAGCTTCATTGGTTTGGAGGAATGTGGCGTCCTGGATAGGTCCCTATTTGCAGTAAACTCCATGATCATAGAGGACTGACCTTAGCTGGGTTTCTAATCCTTTTTCCGTTGGGCAGAGAATCCCCCTTCCTTTTGCGTCCTCTCTGCTACCATCTTTGACACCCTTTCTCATTTCTCTGTATTCTTCTTCCCCTCTGTCCTCTCCCACCTTACGTGTACCTTTCCTTCCTGTGTCTGGGCAGAATCAGTGTCTGTTGGGTGGTAGGTGGGATTCAGAATGAGTTACTGTCATGGTAGAACTAGGTAGGAACTTTCTACACCTTGACCCTCAAACACAAGGCTTATAGGTTGTTTGAGCTTGCTGTACCTGGCAGGCTGGGGGTATAAAAAGTAGGAGCTCTGAAATATTTTAGCTACCCAAATTAATTTCATAAGACTTTTACTTTGTGTGGTGTTTCTACTTTATTTTATGGATTTAGCTTTAATTACTCTTCATCTAGTGCATTTTCTTTCTTTTGAGGTTGTTGAGTTGTATATGGAAAACAACTATTCTTCCATCTTCCTGATGACATAATACCGTCTAACCTATTTTCAGTCCCTTCCAGTATATCACAGTGCTGTTAGATTAATCTTCCTTATGCATAGCTCTTATCATGTCACTCAGATTCTGCTCTGAACCCCACAATTCCCTATTTCCTCTCATATCAAGTGGAAACTCCTTTGCACGATATTTTAATGCAATTATTTATTATTTTCTATTATAGTTGGTTATTTGTAAATGTGTCTTATACTTACTTTCTACATAATTTCCATGAGGTCAAGGATGTTTCTTATCTAAACTTTTTATCTTCATCCAAGCATAGTCTGAAAATAGCAGATGATTTACTTTTTTTTTTTTTAATTAAATTAGATTGGCTGTAACAGCCCAAATGAACAGGCAAATGAAATTATCAAAATGTAAAATGTAAAAATGGGCTCACTGGCAACACTTGCATATAGGGTGACAGAAAAGGGGGCCAAAAAGATGTAATTTTAATTATTAACAGAATAAAGCTATCCTTGAAATTATTCTCATAGATAGACTCTTTTCATTAGAAATGGAAGGAAATTTAGAAGTCACTCAGTCCAGGCTTCTCATTCTACTGTTGTCTATAAAATTTACAATAAAGCTAAATTGAATATTTATATCTTCTAGGGTAACTTTGAGGTAGATTTTCTTTGTGTCATAAAATATTTTAGAACAAATTTTATTTTTTAAGTAGTATTGGCACCTGATTTCTGTTTGCAGGAAGATGTTTCACTGAGTGGATATAGAAAATATCTGATATCTCAGTCCTCTCCAGCCCCACTGACTGCAGCTGAGGAAGAATTACGGCAGATTAAAATTAATGAGGTATGATAGCCACTTTGAAGGTTTTAATGTTTGGAAATTTTGTTTTCTTGTCAGTGGAAGTTGATAGATTTGATATCCCTAACAAGAAAAATGGAGTAGCTTGTTGTCTAATATACTTACTGTGCTTTGTTTTCATAATTATATTTGTCATTCATTGGGCATTACTTGAGAAGAAGGTTGAAGATGATTATGAAATCTTGATTTAACATGTGATGTTCATAAACTACTTTTGTCATTTGTTTTTAACATTTTTCTTTGAGAACCAAAAAAATGGTTGGAATTTACTTATTCTCTGTGTGTGTGTGTGTGTGTTTGTGTGACATGAGTAATACATATGTATATTTTTGTATATGTATTCTTGTTTCTTCTTTTAGAATGTAAGCTCCTTATGAATAGGGATTGTTTTATTCATTGCATTAGTTATCTCTAGCACAGTATCTGGCACATAATAGGTACTTAGTACTTCATTTTAAGAATTTCAATTAATAGTAATGACTATATAATGGCAATAAAATACAATTTATATAGGCTCTGTAAATGATATTTTGGGAAACTGCTAAAAGATAAAAATTTTTGATAATCGACTTTTTTACCAGTTGCATTAGCAATTGTGATTAATAGGCTAATGGATACCTTCTGAGACTTTTACATAAAAGATCCATTAATTGAACTGCCATTCTCATTATTTAGTCTATTGATAGAATAATAACTAGAGAAATCAATCTAGAAAAGTAGTTGATTCATGCTATTTATCCCTAGTGTCAATGATTTATGTTTATATGAAACTGTAGTTCTTTGTACAGCTGTTTCTCACATTGTGCTGACTTGTTCATGTGTGATAGTGTTTTGTTTTTTGCAATCAGAACCCAACATGTACCAAAGTATACACTTGCATATTATATAATATATTCATATCATGTAGAATTTACATTTCTTAAATTAAAATTTTCATTTGTTTTGTTTTTTCATACAAATGAGAATCTTGTTAGTTGTATATAGTTTTGATTCACTTATCAAAATGTAAAATGTTAAATGGGCCCGTATGGCTAAATTTTTTTCTTAAAATACCTGAACTCATTTCTTTTTATTAGAAATGAAAACACTAAGTTTAGAACTTCCACACTAGTGATAACTGTTCAGCTATTGTGGGTATTTGTATACTGTGTTGTATTCCCTTGAGTGCATGGTGTTTGTACTACATTTTGTGTCTGCCAGAACAAAGTGAAGCTTTATATTTAGTGTTATATGTAATGTTATATTGTTGAAACTCTTTAAGTTGTTAGTCCTTTTACTCTAACGAAGACAGTAGTAATGCATCAAGTGCTTAAGTAGTTTGATTTTCTAGTTCTGGTTATGTTGAAATCTGGCTTGAAAAACCAGATCCTTTGCCCTCATTTACTTTTCATGAAGATGTCTTTTATTTTGCATGATGACAAAGTAGTAGGATTTACAACAAAAATATAAAGGTGAATTTAATTCTGTAGGCTTATAGGATTAATTTTGAAGGCCCATGTGTTGTAGAGAAAAAGACAGTAGTATTTAACTTAATGTAAGTTAGATTTCTTTAACATCTATACAATTTGAATACATGATGCTAGAAATTTCATTTGTAATCTGGATCATTATATCACCTTTCAGGTCCAAACTGATGTTGGTGTGGACACTAAGCATCAAACACTACAAGGAGTAGCATTTCCCATTGCTGGAGAAGCTCTTCAAGCTTTGGAAAAATTGAATAACAGACAGCTCAACTATGTACAGTTGGTGAGAGAAATTGTACCATTTATTTCTAAATAAAATCAATTAAGTTAAATATAAAAAAAAGTTTATTTTGAAGCTATTACCCTTTCAGTAATAAAAAACTGACAATTAAATGGTGCTTCACATACATTAATTCTCTTAAACATCATGACAACTCTGTGAGGTAGTACTACAAAAGCTGTATTTCCATTTTAGAGATGAGGCATCTGAGGCTTAGAGAAGTTAAATAATTTGCCCATAGTTTAGCACTATCTGTTATAGCATACCTAGTACCGCGTAGAAGCTTGTTTAAATTTTATTTGTAAAATGTATAAATAAGTTTTTGGACTGAAGCTCTGTTTATGTGTTTAACAAGTATATGCTGTCTCTTATTGACAGGAAATAGATATAAAAAATGAAGTTATAATTTTGGCCAACACAACAAATACAGAGCTAAGAGACTTGCCAAAAAGGATTCCAAAGGATTCAGCACGTTATCATTTCTTTCTATATAAACATTCCCATGAAGGAGACTATTTGGAGTCTATAGGTATATTTGCTATATCTCTTCTCTTGCAATTTACCTTAGAATTTATCTGCTTAGTCATGTTTCAGTAAAGTATCCTTACTATTTTCTTGTTCACTGAGCTTTGTTATTTTGTTTTACTTTTGATATCATAGTTAGGTTTTCATATAATTATTTTATCTTACAGTTTTTATTTATTCAATGCCTGGGTATACATGCAGTATAAGAGAACGGATGCTTTATTCTAGCTGCAAGAGTCCTCTGCTAGAAATTGTAGCAAGAAAACTGCAGATAAATGTAATTAGAAAGGTAGGCATGCTTATTTTTTCCAGAGATTTCACATTCTGTGCTGTCTTCTGTTTTCTTCAAATTTCAGCTTATAATAATTTGTAAAGTTCTTCAAGATTTGCTTGATTTGAGAAATGACCTATTTCTTATAGTTCCTCATAGACCCCAAGGATCTCTACTGTCAGTACTACAGGTTACCTGGGGAAAACATTTGATACACAGTGACACAGAAGCAAATTGGTGGCCCACCTAGGGTGCACATTGTAGGCACTTAAAAAAAAAAAGATAGTTGACTTGATGACTCTAGCAGTATTAGTAGGGAACTCAAGACTCCCAAAATTACTTTTGGAATGGCAAAATTTAGCAGAAATTTTAAGTAAAGTGACCGTAACACTCCCAACTCTGCTAAGGTGTAAAAAAAAGGCAGTTTCTTAAATACCCTACTGCTTACAAACATACTCAAATCTCCCTGTTTAATAAAAACCCTTTTTTTAAAAAATAAAAATCTTACCTTATCATCCTTTCATGCTATCTTTCTATCTATTTTATCTTTCTATAGCTAAGCTCCTAGAGAAAACCATCTACAGGTATTGCTTCTACTTTTCTTCTCATTTATCAATCTCTTGCTAATTTGCTTTTGATCTTATCACTCAACTGAAACTGCTCCCTTCAAAGTTGTTTCTTAATTCCTAAATCCATTGTAGTTTTCTCCTAATCTTTCTTTAAATCTCTACCACATTTGACACTGTTGATCACCCTGTCTTCCTGGATAATTCCTGGATACTCTGCTCAGGCTTTTATGACACTGCTCTGTGGGATGTCCTCCTACGTGTCCGACTACTCCTCAGACTCCTTGCTGGATCGTCGTCATCATCATCATAATCCCACCTCCTGTTGAATATACAACAAGGCTCTACCCTCAGCCCTCTTACTATATAATCTGTTGGTGACCTCATCTGCTCACAAGAATAAGGTTACTGCTATGGCAGAGGACTCCCAGATATGTCCAGCCCTAGGCTTTTACCTGTACTCCAGTGCTATTACCAAGTGCTTATTGAACATTTCCAACTGGATGTCTCACAAGCATTTCAAACTCAGCATGTCCACAACATAACTCATTATTTTTCTCCAAAACCCACCTGTATTCTAAACTAAACTATTTCTCTTATGAATACCACCAAATTTCTAGTAGCTGAGGTTCATAACTTCAGTCATCTTCACAATTTCAGTCAATTCTTCCTTACCCCATATATTCATTTATTTAAATCTTGTTTTTTGATTTCACAACATCTCGTATCTTTCCCCTTCTCTCCACTCAGAGTTAGCATCCTAGTTCAGGCCTTAATCACCTCTCACCTGGATTCTTACAATACCCTCCTAATTTCTGCACCTTTACATAGGTTGTCCTCTCATGCCTGTAATGAACTTCCTCTTAAAAACCCTTCAGAGTTCACTTTAAGTGCTATTTCCTGTGTGAAGCCAAATGCAAGAATTGGACACTATTTGATCACCTTATGCCACTTCTTCCAGTTCTTAACCTCTGTACTTGGGTCCTCTTTTCCCTTTATACTGTCTTTCCTGGTGATCTCATTAGCTCCCATTGGTTTAGTTTCTGTGCAGATGAATCTCAGATCTATATATCCAATATAACAGATCAATTATTCTGGAGTTTAGCCCTACATTACCAACTGCCTTTTTGCCATATCAAACTGGGTAATCACTACAACCAAGAATCACCTACCCAGCAAAACTGAGTATAATCCTTCAGGGGAAAAAATGGTCATTCAGTGAAATAGAGGACTTTCAAGCATTCTTGATGAAAAGACCAGAGCTGAATAGAAAATTTGACTTTCAAATACAAGACTAAAGTGGAACATGAAGAGGTAAACAGGAAAGAGAAATCATAAGAGATGTATTAAGGTTGAATTATTTACATTCCTGCATGGAAAGATGGTATTTGTAACTTGCGAGACCTTTGTCAGTATTAGGGTAGTTGGAGGGAAAAAATTATATGTATGTGTATATAGATAGATAGAGGGCACAGGCTGAGTTGAAGATGAAGGGGTCATATCTGGAGAATAAAATTGAGGGGTGAGAGAGGATTATACTGGAAGAAGAAGAAAGGGAGAGGTGGAACAGGGTAAATTATCTCACAAAAAAAAACAAAAGACTCTTACAGAGGAGGGGAAACGGGGGAAGGTGAGAGGGAATGAGTGAATCTTATTCTTATAGGATTTGGTTTAAGGAGGGAATAACATACACACTCAATTAGGTATGGAAATCTGTTTTATCCTACAGGAAAACAGGGGAAGAAGGGACAAGAGAGCAGGGGAATGATAGAGAGGTGGGCAGATTGGGAAAGGGGGTAATCAGAAGCAAACACTTCTGAGGAGGGACAGGGTCAAAAGAAAGAAGAAAATAAATAAATTCCCTTAGGATTAAGGGAAATAGAGTTAGTTTTTCACAACATGACTACTATGGAAGTGTTTTGTATAACTGCACATGTATAACCTATAATTGAGTTGCTTGCCTTTTCAATGAAGGTGGGTGGGGAGGGAGGAAGGAAGAAAATTTGGAATCCAAAGTTTTAAAAAACACATGTTTAAAAAAAAATGTTTTCACATGCAACTAGGAAATAAGAAATACAGGGAATGGGGTGCAGAAATCTATACTGCCCTACAGGAAAATAGAAAGGGAAGGGGATAAGAGAAGGGGGGGGAGAGATAGAAGGGAGGGCAGACTAGGGGAAGGGATATTCAGAATGCATGCCATCTTGGGGTGGGGGAGGGGCGAGATGGGGTGAAAATTTGGAACTCAAAATCTTGTGGAAGTAAATGTTGAAATAAATTTTTAAAATTTTTAAAAATTTTAAAAAAAAGAAAAAAGAAAAAACTGGGTAATCACATAGACATCCAAATCTCTACTTGTGTGAAACAGAACTCATTTTCCCCTCACATCCTTTGTCTTCACAAACCTCCCTTTTTGAGGTATCCCCATATTCCCAGTCACTCAGGCTCTCAATGTCAGTGACTCTTTAATTTGTACTCATTCCATCAGTTATGATCTGTTGTGAGATCATTTTCCCCTTCACAGTATCTTCCATATACATCTCCCTACACACACAGCAGCCACAATGGTATGGACCCTGGTCACAGTCACTTCGTGCCTAGCTAGCCTTCTGGTTCTCCCTGCCTCAGCCTACTCCAGTCCCTCCTCTACCCAGCTGCCAAAGTGATTTTTCTAAAATGTAGGTTTGACCTCAATAAATCTCAGTGGCTCCCTGTTACTTTCAGGATCCTGAAATCCTATGTTTGGCATTTAAAGCTATTCATAACCTGTCCCATTCCTACATTTCCATTCTATTTGTACTTTACTCTCTTCCACGTACTATGATCCAGCTACACTAGTCTACTTTTTGTTCTTGGAACATGACCATCTCCTTTCTCTGTACCTTAGCACTGGCTGTCCTTCATTTCTGGAATACTTTTTCTCCTTCCCTCTGCCTCTTTTCTTAACTGGCTTCCTTCAAGACTGAGCTCAAATTTTACCTTCTTCAGAAAGCCTTTCACAGTCTCTCCAACTGCTAGTGCCTGTCTTCTGAGACTACATCTCATTTACTCTGTTTTACCTCCAGCACGTAGCACATTGCCAGGCATATACTAAACACTTGATAAATGCTTATTGACTGCCTGACTTTAAAAATCCTAATTTTCCAACCTATAAGCTAATTTTTGTATAGTATTAAAAGTATTAAAAAAGTATAAAACCATTTTCCAAATGGAAAGCTTATTTATACACAATCAGCTACTATTAACTAGTTTTTGGCTTTGGTTTTGTTTTTGGAATGTGCATAATTTTGTGTTTTTCTATTACAAAAATTAATTTCAGAAAACTAACATGATAGGTATACTGATAGTCATGTAGATTTCAAGTTTAAATGCTGTTTGATTCTAATTTTTCAGTATTACTAACCCTCTTTTACTTTATAGATTGAAATAGAAAATGGAGATGAACTAACTGCAGACTTCCTTTATGAAGAAGTACATCCAAAGCAACATGCACATAAGCAAAGTTTTGCTAAACCAAAAGGTCCTGCAGGAAAAAGAGGAATTAGAAGACTAATTAGGGGTCCAGCTGAAACTGAAGCCACTACTGAATGAAATCTTTTACATGCACTGGTAATACTAAGTATTACAAGACCAGCTTTTATAAAGTCTAGTTTTTAGTACCAGAGAATGTTAATCATTACATATGAATGTGGAATGTTCAGAAAAAAAATTTTTCAACAAGACAAACTTTAAAACAATTATTTTTGTTTTCAACTTAAAGCTATAAAAACATGGTAGTATTTCAGTTTTAGAACACTGAGTTACAAATCAACACTTAATTAGCATCACCCATTTTAGTGCTTAAAATTGCATACAATTTAGGTATTTTTAATGACATAAAGAAAAACCATTCTACTCCCACTCTCCCCCAAACATTCCCCTCAAAACAGGCTATACTTTTTTCCCCCACTAATTAGACATCCATTTGATTTCTCTTTAAACCTTTAAAGAGAGAGAGATAAGACAGGAAATATGTCTATTACTTAATGAATTTATTAAGTAAAAAGTTTTTTCCATTTTGAAAACATTGGTTTGTGCCTGATAGATGGAAATGTATTTATTCATTTTGGGGAGCAATATCAGCTCTTATAGAAATCTAAGATACATTCACGATCTTCTGAAATCTCTAATAGTTTGTGATTTATACTTGACTTTATTTTGTTAATATTATTGTTGCACCAGATTGACTTTGAAATTTTTAAATGATTTGATAAATCTTAGCAATGAAAGATTTCTTATTACATTTTTGAAATGTTAAGTTTAAATTTTTCTGGCAAAATTAAAATTGTTTTTTTCTCGAAGCTGATCAAGTTATTCTGTGCTACACAAGGGAGCCAAATGGTTAAAATTCATATTGAGTTTAAAGTCAATGTCATTAAGTCAAAGAAGACACAAATCATAAGATTAACTGAAACTTTGAAAAAGAACTTATATATAGTATTTGATTATTTTGAAATTATTGAACAAAGTGTTTTCTAATTTATTATCACAGTACTTGCACCTCTGAAGTTTGGCTTGAATATATTTGTTTGGCTCTATCTTGTTTAAGACTGATACATAATTATTAGCATTTTGCAGCTTCAATCTCTGGTAGAAATTTTGGACCTAATTTGGAAGGAGTTAATAACATTTTGTTGCATTTGATCTGTAAAAAAAAATTGCTACGACCTATAATTTTCAGTTGGTTTCAGCTGTTTTCTAAAAGAACTGAAGTGAGCCAAGATTTGTAATCTGCAGACATACACATTTCATAGTATACAGTGTGCAAAGCACTCTGTTTCTAGGGTTCTAAATTTTATTGCACAATTAACCATTTTTGCACATTTATTTTAGCGGTGACACCCAATACAGACATTTTAAGACAGTTGTAGGCTGACCAGCTGAATTCTTAAAAACCAAAAGGGTAGTCTATGTGGAGTTCTGTGTTTTTTTTTTTATAAGTAATAATTCACTTTGTAATATTTCACACTACGCACAGCAAAGATAAGTTTTAAATTTGTTTCACAAATAAAAATCTGTAGCTATTAATAAGACCTACACTGAGTTGATCAATAAACTCCACTTATCCTACATGAAAGTAAATGGATATTCTTGATTATGGTATAAATTTGTCTTAATTTTTTTGTTCTGATTGTTGAAAATTGAAAAATGTATATATTCTAGAACGTAACCATATGACTTTTAGTATGTTCAAGGTAGTATTTTACAAAATCCAAATTTTTAAAAATCTGATAAATTTATACAATATCAGAGAATTATATTAAGTACCTTTTATAGCTGAATAAAAACATTTTCTCTCTATGTTTTTACATATTTTTATGACCATTTTCTGTGGTACAATTTTTTTTAAAAATTTGTAAAAAAATCTCCTGTTTCTTTCCATTTGGCCCATTGTACATCAAGTTTTTGGACTTGCTGCAAGTCTGTGTGCATTATTAGGTTTTGATTTTTACAAAATTGCTTCACATCTTCATTTAGGTAACATTTTACTTTTGTAATTAAGAAACTGAAGTGAAGAGAGACAGAATATGTGAGAAACCATAAGTAAGTAAGAGAATATGTGAGCAGCCGTATGTGGAAAAAAGTTTAAATGCCTACTGTAGTTTTGGCAGATTAAATTTGAAACTTTTTTAGTAATACATTCTGGTTTGATTATGGTGAACTCTTAATCATCTAAGGATAGACAACATGAACCATTTCCTACTTCCTTGTCTTAATGTATTATGGTTGTTCCTGTGCCATGATTTTCTTTTGTTCCTGGAGCCATTTTACTTACCTGCTCATTTTTGCTTCTTTTTTCTTCATTTTGCAAATTTATCTATTTCACATATGATTTTTTTTTCATTTTTCATTCATACCATTACAAAAAGATATCAGGACTCTTATTTGAACCAATTAAATAGCAAAATGATTAAAATATTTTAAAATTTTCTGAACCAGCCTGAATTTATACCTTCTTTTTATTATCTGTTGCTTTAGGTAATAAAAGATTTCCCCTACTAATCCAAATTTTTTTATAATAAGTAAACAATAACAAAGTTAGCCCCTTAGAAGAACAGGGTGATTATTTAAAAGTGCCTCTTATAGGAATAATATATTTAAAAGTACCTCTTATAGGAATAATAATTAAGTGGGAGTAGAAGGACAAGTATGACAGTAGCAGAAAGGCAGTAGTTACCATGGTCCAAAGACATTTTCTGTAGCTGTTTTGGTTCCTTATCTGTTAGGAAAAGAATCATGTTCCTAGCTGAACATGTATCATATATGTGGCATATTTTACATAATTTATCCATAAGCAAAACTGGTAGAATTGCTTCCTCCCTTCCCAGTTCCACAGAATGATTTTTTTTAACTACATCTCTTTTGTGAAAAGATGGTCTGTTTGAGTGTGTCCAATAAAAAAACGGTTCTAGTCTTATTTAGTGTTTTAAAAGATGTAGGGGCCTGGGAGTTCACCTGATTTAAACTCCATTAAGAACGTGTGGGTCTAGACTTGGAGAAATATTACCTAAATTCTATGAATTAAAGAATATTAAAATCCTGTGAACTCAGTGTCAAGTCTTATAAAACAAATGAAAAGGGTATTTTGAATATTAAGCTTTTTAAAAAGATTTTAAAAGTTGTAAGATTTATTGTTGAAGTCGGTACTTTAAGTTAATTTGCATATTGCTCTACTTGTATTTGCACTTGTTTACCTATTTGAAATGTAAATTCCTTGTAGTTCAATTTTTCACATTAGTATATCCATTTCATAGGCCTAACATAGCATTGGGACAAAATAAATGTGTGTTGATTTATTTTATCAGTGTAGAGAAGGCTGGTGGAAATCAAACGATACAGGCCTGAAGGAAAATGCCTGATTTGGAATTATAGGTGTTTGGACTGCTTTCTGTTTTTCTATACTTGCTATTCATCTTATTTTTAGCCTTCAATACACCCTGTTGGAATATGAGTTTATCATGGGGTTTTGCTTTTACTTTCAATGGTTCTTCCATCCATTTAGAGACCATTTGCTAGCAAGTATAGACAGGATACTGATCAATTTTACAACCTTTAGGATTGGGCCCACCAACCTAAGAGAGGTAGCTAGAGATTTGCTAAAGGAATTGATATTCTGTGGCAGTGGGTGAGTGCTTTTTGAAGTGGCCTGCTCTCTCCTCTGGCCCCTGGGACTGCTACAGTGTCCCTTGACTGTCATCCCTTTTGACCCATTGCTCACTTTCCCAACCAGGGTGAATTGTCCCAAATTTGCCGTTTGTCTTGGGGATCCAGGATGTATGGAATGCCTTCAACCAGAAGAAAATCTGTGATAAAGGCAGCTCACAAGAGCCAAAAAGTAACTTGCCTTATCCCTCTCTGGTCCTTATTTTCTTTTGTCCTTCCTTTCCAAAGTACCTTCTGGTTTTATTGTTACACTCCTCTTCATCCTCATTGTTTTAGTGTAAAACAGGTTTAAGCAAAATGGATTGTACAGTAACTAACCCTATAAAGTTGGTCTTGAAACACCTGAGTATAAGTCTTAACTAGCTATGTGGCCTTGAGAAACTGACCCTCTCAATTATCTAAGGCAACTCCCTAAGACTATGAATTGCAAAACACTTGCTGACCGGTCTAAAAACAAAAACACCCCTAATTTTCCTGAGATTTTAGTCTTCATAATGGTGTGAAGTTGAATCTGGGTTCTTGGAACCCAGAAAAATACAAGCTCTACCAAGCTACAAAGATTTTGAGAACTGATTTGAGAATGATCTAGGTGTCTCTGGTCTGAAGACCAGTGTTTGGCCACCAGTTCCGTCACAAGGTGATAAATTTTTCAACTATAGTGTTCTTGAAGACCATCTAGTAAGTCTTATGGGCAGGGGGATTATTTCTGGGTTAAAAGGAATAACTTAACTGATGAAATGACAGGTCCTTTAAACTGCAGCACTTCTTAAACTGTGGGTCGAGGCCCCATACAGGATCACAACTCACAGTTCAAGAAGTGCTAACCGGGGTCACAAGTGGAAAAATTTTAAGGAGTCCTGCTTTAAAATACTGAAATATGACTAATAAATACCCCATTGGTTTAGTAGAATAAGTTCCAACATGAACCTGCCCTGCACCAGTTCTGCTCTATAGTAAACACAGAGCAAGCTAGACAAGGCTCCAGCAATATATAGGTACATATTTATATACACGTGTGTGTGTGTGTATGTATATATATATACACACATATATATTTAATAATAGTTTTTCCCCACTTACATGTAAAAACAATTTTTAACATTTTAAAAAATTGAGTTCCAAATTCTGTCCCTTAACCCTTAGATGGTAAGCAATCTGATGTAGATTATACATGTGCAATCATGTAAAACATGATTAGCATTTGTGGAAGATATAAGTCATTTTGTGAAAGAATTTTTCTTTAAATTGTTAAATAATTTTAAAATATGGAACAAATGTATTTTTCTCATCTATAAAATATGTTGCAAAGCACTCTTATAAATAAGAACAGAAAGAACTTCCAAAATTTGAAGCTTTCAAAATACATGTACTTTTCTGGTTTTGTCCTTTACATATGTGCTTTCAGAATAGACAGGATAGTTTAGTCAAACGTTAACATACCAAAATATGGTATACTCAGCTTAACTTTCATAATGCTGCTTGTTTAACTAAGTCTTATAACCATAACCTGATTTATCACTAGTCCCAAGGTTGCTGCTTAGCATTTATATTCCTAACTTAAGAAGTACTCTAGGGGTATATCAGAAAAATCTGAAACAAGTTTACTACCAGATTATTGTGTTCATAATCCCTCAAATAAACTTTATCATGCTATGACCAAAAACAAACATCATTTGGAGGATCTTGACATAGTTCAACACTGGGTCAGTGGTCTAAAAAGTGAGGACTATTGCCTCTTGGAAGATCATGGAATGAAAAAGTGGCCTGTGATTAACCAATCAGGGTGGAAATATTGGTTGTACCTAACTCTTCTGTGATAGCCAAGATGGCCAATCATGGGGCTTTTCTCCAACACAAGAATAACTTCTCTCAGGTTCACCCATCATCATTCCCATTGCTGTGTAAGCTCTAAACTCACCTTTGGCTGCTCAAGGAAATTATAACCCAGCAGCTGCACAGGTTCTGTTGGAAAAACATGACCTTCTTGCCTTCCAGATCATATCCTAGCTATGCCAAAAGGCCATCAGAGGACCCAGCTCTGCATTCTGGGCCCTGTCAGGTGAGTTAGTCTGATTGCCCCCCTTTTCATAACCTAGTATATGACCTAGTGCTGCAATCGGCTTCTCAGATCTCATTACATTATCTTTTTGACCAAATTCTATTTAAAATCCCTTTCTACCTATTTTCACTTTCATCCACCCCACATAAACAGGTAGTTGCCAAATCTTATTTGGTCTATCTCTTAAACCTGCCTTTCTCTCCATTCACGTATCCAATTCCTTAGTTCAGACCCTTACCTCCTTTTTACCTAGACTATTGCAATTGGGGCTATAGCTAGGTGGCAGGGTGAATAGGGTGCTGGACTTAAAATCAGGAAGACCTGACTTCAAAATTGGCCTCAGACACTTACTAGCTCTTGACTGTATAAAAAGCATTTGGCACAGTGCCTATCCATAGTAGGTGCTACATAAATGCTAGTTATTGTTTTTATTATTATTATTTAATTACTTAATATTATTGTTATTATTGTGCCTTCTAATTAGCACCCCTGCCTCAAATCATTCCTCACCCTAATCCAGCCTCCATATACCTACCAAAATGATGTTCCTAAAACAAGTCTAACCATGTCACTTCCCTACTCAAACTCCTGTGGCTCCCTCCCTAAGATAAATTAATAGGCATTTACTAAGTACCAAATTTACTTTGTGCCAAACAGAGCTAGGCTTTGGGGATACAATCTCTCCCCTCAAAGAGTTTAATCCAGTTCCACTTCAAGACCTACCCAAAAGTAACTATCTTCTTATTCTTCAAACTCAAAAAAAACCCAATAAAATATCCAAACACTGAAAATGGATACATGACACCATACATTAAAAGTCAAAGATCTTCCTTGTTTTTCTATTGTATATGGTAAATATATACATGCAGAGAAGCAAGTGTCCAAAACAAACCTCACCTGCTTGACTAGAGTTGCAATGATCAAATTAACTAAACAATTATTTACTAAAAATTATATTTGCAAATCTACCACAATCAACATTACTCAGGAGCAAAAGGGTTTCTTGTATTACGAATATGTTAAAAACTATTTAAGGGACAGCTAGGTGGCACAGTGAATAGAGCACCAGCCCTGGATTCAGGAGGACCTGAGTTCAAATCTGGCCTCAGACACATAACACTAGCTGTGTGACCCTGGGCAAGTCACTTTACCCCATTGCCTAGCAAAAAAAACAAAACAAAACAAAACAAAACCTATTTAAATATTTTTATGTCTTAGCCTCGAATTTCTTTTATTTGTATGCTTTACAATACATATAATTTTAGTGCAACAACAATGTATATTTATCAGTAAATATTTTCAACCTTTCACAGAGTTTGTTCTAAGAAACAGACAAACAAATTAGGCTGTGTCTATATTTTAATTTCTCTCAAGCTGCTTGACATGCATTGCATGGCAGTTACAGTCCAGAACTGGCTCAATTTAAGAGTTGGGGTACCTAGTTTATATACCTTTTCAATAGGGAAAAATCTCTCCTATCAAATCACCCCCCAACCATACCAGACCACTCCCAAGCTTGGGCTATCTAGACTGAAGACTGTGTCTCCACCCAAGCCTGAACAGACCTTTGATTAAATCAATTCAGGCTTGGTTTGACCAGGATAAGAAGATTCAATGCAATCTCATTATCAGTAATGTGAAAGGACTTTTGACAGAAGAGGGCTAGAGACGGGAGTTCTAAGTCTAGAAATCATTTTTCATAATAAATCTCATTTTTAATATAATATTGCTTTTCTAGAAAAAAATTTAACAATTAGGTAGAAAACAGGTTATTTGCTTCATTTTTAATATTAGCACAATCTAAATATCAGAATATTCACAAAATTATACAATGTTATAAAATAAGTTGTCCACTATGTATTTCAAGATGGTTTGATTTCTACTTATAGAAGGCAAACAGAACCATAAATAAGTTACTTAATAAAGCTTATTTTAGGGAATGAATTTATATTGAATTTTATTTTAAGGTCATTATCATCTAATAGCCATTCTCTATTTCAAAACAGCTGGGGTCCTGATGATCCTACTTCTAGGCTAAATTAATTTTTATGACTGTGATTTTTCGTTTTCCCTAAAAATTGTTTTCTCCTTTAATACTTGATATTAAAAAGGTAATTTGAATGACTGCATATTTTACTTTCTCGATACAGTTATTTTAAAATACTCAATGAGTATGCCAAAACCTGAGCATGCTTTTATAAACATGTTTCTAGATCACTCCTGTTCCACAGATACTGAAGTACCTTTTAAATAATTTTAATCAACAACTGATTTTTAAAAATAATTCTTATTGATATGTTTTGTTTTTAAATCACTTTCATTTACAACTATTACCCTCTTCCTCCCCCTCTACTGAGAACTATCTCTTGAAACAAAAAAAAAATATTAAAAAGAAGCATTTTGGCAAAACAGACACACCAACCAAGTATAACAAGCAATGCTCTACTCCCAGAATTCTCACTTCTGCAAAAAAGGGATGTGTATTTTCTTTGAAGGCAAGTTTGTGCATTATAATTACACAGTATTCCTTTTTGTGGCCCTTGTGCATTTTTTTTGTTTTGTTGTAGCCACTCTATGTATTATTTTCTTGGTTCTTTTTTTCATTTCATTATATCTCATATCTTCCCAAGCCTCTCAATTCTTTATATTTGTTTCATCCTGCACAGTACAACTACATTTCATAGTAAAATGTATTTAGTCATCCTCCAGTGAATGGGAATTAGTTTCTTGCTACCATAAAAAGTGCTTGCTATGCTTATTTTGGCATATATGAAATCTCACATTCTGCAGTCACATCTCTGGGAGGGTTACTTTCTTAGCATAATTCCAACTGCTTTCCAGAATGGTTGAATCAATTCACAGTGAGAAAATCAAATTGATTCTGATTCCATTTTGTAACATTCTATTCTGTATTATCCCCTATATGTTATGTAATTGCCTAAGCCATGTTTCTTTTTCTCAATTAGGTTCAGCTCAGCTTTCCTCTCTGCGCTAAATTGTCCCATAAATCACCTTAATTCAAAAAAAATATGTTGTCTCTGTTATCTCACTAACAAGCCTTGCAAGATGCAGGTGGGTGCCAGGAAGTCTGATACCTCTGCAATGCTGGCTGTCTTTCATGAAAGTCTGAACTGTTATCCATGCAGGTGGATAACAGCAATGAGCTTTCCATAGCAACAAGATGGAAGAAGGGTTGTTTTTAGTCCTGCATTCCTGACTTCCATCCAATTACATTGTTTTCCATCCTCTATGATACTTCAGATTTTGTAACCATTATTTTATGCTTCATGTTCTTTGTTCTGTTGTATTTCCCATAACTATATGAAGGCTAGTAAGCACTACCCTCATGGTCTTTTGACTGAGATGTCTAGACCCTTTTTATTGGTAATTGCTAGCCTTACCAATAAATGGAATGTTCTGGGAACTTTGTGCCTCAGTTTACCTTAATTTCTATCACAACAGCTTTAAAAATTAACCATTATATGCTAAATACAGAAGAAAATGATTAAAGTTCTTTCTTGAATCATATTTACTATAGCAAAAAGATCGAATATGATTGTATCCTATATAGCAAAAGGAAAAAATACTATAAAATTAGGGTTCCTTTTGATCTACTGGTGCACTATGGTAAAACTTATCCTTTAAATCTTCAACTACATTAGGATTATAAAATTGTTCCTGAAGAGAGCTATGCAAGTTGGTATAGGCTCATAGTCTGACTATAGCTGAGCCAGATTATGAAGCAAGGGAAATTTAAAATAAGTTAAAATTCAGATTCAGGTTCTGATGCAGAGGATGAGGTTCCAAAACTTTATATATTAACATTTTTTTTTCTGGACCAACAAACCTGGGAGTCAATATCCAAGATTAATTTAGATGGTATCTTAATAAAATCTTAGGAAATCAGGATGTCATCTCTTGGAGGTGCTGTTTTACCTGCAAAAATAAAATGAACTAAATGGAGGAGTTAAATTCACAATGTGTGCATATACATGTAATATATATATATACTTCACATACACACACACACATTTACATATATAAAACAACAAAAAAAATCAAAAATACCATCTCAATGTCTGGTCTCTTGTTTTTCTTTTCATGAAGACAAAGATTAGCAATAGAATACATATTTTCAACAGAAGTGGAATCCACATCCTTCATTTTTGCATCAATATAATCTTCAATATGCTTTTCTTCATCTTCGATTTCCTCTCTGATATCTAGCTTTGAAATCAGTAATAAAATTTAGTTAAAAATCCCTAATAAAGAGGGAAAGAACTACTAAAATGCAGTCAATAAGTTAACAATCATTTATTAAGCATCTACCATGTGCCAAGCACTGTATTAAGTGCTGGGGATACAAAGAAAAACAAAAGACATTTCCTGACCTCAAGGACCTCATAGTCTAATGAAGGAAACAACATGCAAACAATTATCTACATACTAACTATATACAGGATAAATTGGGCAAAATTAACAGAGAGAAGGCACTAGTATTAAGGGAAATGTGGAAAGGATTCCTGTAGAAGGTGGGATTTTAGGGGGTACTTGAAGGAAACCAATGAAGACAGGAATCAGAGACAAGGAGGGAGAGAATTCCAGGCATGGGGGACAGCCAGTGTCTGGAGTAGGTAGAAGGTATCTTATAAGAAGTATAGCAAGGAGACCAGTGTCACTGGATGGTAGAGTACGTGGAGAGAAGTAAGGAGAAATATTGGAGGGTAAAGGTTATGAAAGGCATTAAAAGCCAAACATTTCATATTTGTTCACAGAAGTGATTACCTCTAGAATTTACTGAATAGGGAGTGACGTGGTCAGACTTGTGCTTTATGAAGATCAGTAAGACAGATGAGTGGCAGATGAACTAACAGAGATTTGAAGCAGAGAGTTTAATTCTACTTGTCCAGGCAAGAGGTAATAATGTGATGGCTGGAAGTATGGTGATGCCCTCCACAGTAACAGGAAAGTCAGAAAAACGGGAGGGATTAGTGGCAAAGAGGAGTTCAGATTCAGACACACTGAATTTAATATGTTTATGAGAAATACTGTTCAAGATGCAAGATTGGAGGTTAGCAGAAAAGTTAGGGCTGGATATAAATTTGAGAATCATCAGCATAAATGCTAATTTATAATGGGAGCTGATGAGATCACCAAATGAAATGATACAGAGGAAGAAGAGAAGAGGGCTCAGGAGAGAACCTTGTGGCATACCCACAGTGTGTGTAACCTGGATGAAGACTGAGCAAAGGAAACTGAAAAGTGGAGGCAGAAGAAACAGGAGAGAATAGTGCCACAAAAAAACTAGAAAAAACAGTATCAAAAGACTAATGGACAGTATTAAAGGCTGAAGAAGAAGGATGAAGACTGAGAAAAAGTAATAGAGATTTGGCAATTATCACTAGTAACTCTCTGAGAGAACAGTTTCAATTGAATGATGAGGTGAGTAGCCAGAGAGAGGTCATGAGGTCAGAGGGAGCCTAAGAGAAAAGGAAGTAGAGGCACCAATACATGGCCACAATAGGCAGAAGACATATGGGGACTATAGCTAGGAGGGATAAATGGATTTTTAAGGGTGTTTTGAAGATGCACGAGACATGAGCATGTTTATAACCACTAGGGAAACAATCGATAGGAAAAAAAAAACTGAAGATTAATGAGAGTAAAATGGGATGGAATGGGATCCCTTGTACAGGCACAGTAATTAGCTTTGGCAATGAAATGGGTCATGTGTTCATGTGGTCTTAAAAGACCATTTAAGTTTTGTAAATTACATTTCTTTACTAACATGTAAATTGTATTCTACTGTCTATAACATCAGCAGCACTTTTTAAGGTTTTGAAGCTAAATGAAGAATTATATAGCCTCTATAGGAACAGAAATCCTGTTGGCTCAATAGCCCTCAAAAATAAGTAGCTGGACTGCTACAATTCAACCTAAAATGCATTTCATATTTTAATTATATTTTTATAATATAGATCATACTTTAAAAATAAAATATGAATAAAATTTTTTGAAATATACTTTTATCTTTACTTATGAGGAATGTAATTTTCAGTAATTTACATTTATGGCACTCAAACAATTATGCCCATATTATCAGTGTATCGCAACCACAGCTGCAAGCACAGATAGAAACTTATGCCAGTGAATCTGCTACCTGATATGTTTTGAATTTGGCTCCTTATGACAAGACCAGTATTTCCCTGGTACAGCTTCTTTTCTCCCACTCACAGTATAGGAGGGCTCTATCTTAAAGAAAACAAAACTGCTTGTAGGACCTGATTGGTCCTGGCTTTCCTGAGGCAGCCTCCTAATTATCTGAGGGCATAAAAAGTCCTAGCCACATGGAATCTAGGCCTCTCACACTTGGTGGGTACCTAAGACCATGTGAGGTGCCATTCCTTAATGGTCTGCTGATTTGACGAATTTCCACAAGGTCAGCCTCTACAAAGTGGAAAGTAAATACAATTCTGTCTTGTTGCATACCCTTGCTGCATTAGGACAAAGTAAACCTCTTTTACTTGACTTATTCAATGACTTATAAGTGCCTCATTTCATTCCAAAATTAATCTGATTTTACCAAGTGCTAGCATTAGAGCTGTGCTCCTGACTCCTTTCCCCACATAGGCCCTCTGATAGAGGGGAGGGGAGAAATGGGGAAGAAGGAAGTCCCCCTGTCACCAAACTTTCCCTTTGTATTCTACTGTCTACAAGCTGTTGGCACAAACCACAGAAGAAAAGGGAAGGAATAGAGATAAGCTGGATGAAAACGGGAGAAATAATAAAAGGAAGAGAGAAAAATGTTCCCATCCAATATTCTATGACCATAAAATAATGAAGCTGATTTTTCTTGCGTTTCTGAAAGGGAGTCTAAAGTCACAACTTGGCCCCTTTTAGGAGCAAATGTCTGCCAAGGGCTGCCACCTGGAAATACCAATGCTGCTCAGCTCCGAGTTGCTGGTAAATCTGAACTGGTGGTGCTGGGGAAACCAGGCTCTGAACTGCTGGTGCCTAGCCAAAGAACTAAGGAATACAGGGCATGTGATAGATCACTAGAACAGGATGCTCTGAGAATGTGAGGAGATGTGCAGTATTCCACCAAGCCTAAAGGAAAGAGCACAGCATTCAGCTGGGACAAGTTCTGACCAACTAAGTCAGCTGGAGCAGAGACCTACTCTAGTGAACTGTGAATTACTCAGTGTGAGAGGAGACTGGGATGCTTCAAGATCTAGCCCCCAAAGAAACCACAATCAAAAGGGAAGGGCTCAGAAGTGAATAATAAGGAAAATGGGGGCAGGAAGACCAAAAGTACCAAAGATCACAGACAGAAATATGGCCTCCAGATGGAATAAATTAATTCAGACACCTATGAATATAGGTGGTAGTGTTGTTCAGTCATTTTTTTCAGTTGTATCCAACATTTCTTGTGACCCCATTTGAGTTTTTCTTGGCAAAGATACTAGAGTACAGAAAGAAAACCACAGACCCATATCTCTAGTGAATATCTTGATGCAAAATATTAAAAAGACTACACACTATGCCCAGATCTATTTATACCAGGAATGGAAAGTTGGTGCAATGTAAACTATAAACATAACAATATTAATAATAAAAATCACATGCTATCAATAGATACAGAAAAGGTTAGAAACATGAAATAAATGGACCTTTCCTTAATGTGGTAAATAGTAGGACAGTTCTAGCATTAAGTAAATTCACATTACTAAATTCAACTTTATGATAAAGAATTTGTGCTTTGGTCTCCCACTCATCCCCCTATCAAATAAACAAAAAAACAAAACAAAAAAACCACAACCTTAAGAAAAAATCTCAAAGTGAAAGCAGAAGAACGCTTGGAGAGACTACCACTTCTGCCCTGGCCTGACATATCCCCATCCTCTCCTACTTGTGCCCTTACATATCTACCCCAACTCCCGTTCTTCCTCTGGGTTCCAGCCAGTCCCATATCCCCTGCATATTTCTCCTACTTTGACTTCTCTGTCTCAGGCCCCCAGTTGTCCTTGAACCACATGCCAGCGCTCTCTCTCCACTGGGCCCCCTTTCTTCTTCCCTCCCTTCCTTCACCATCCTGAGCAAATTCACTCTGGTAAAAATCTCTTCATATAGATGTCTGTGGATCATCCCACTTTTGAATGTGACCTCATCTATAAAATGAGCTAGAGAAGGAAATGGCAAATCACTCCAGTATTTTTGCCAAGAAAACCTCAAATGGGGTCACAAAGAGTCAGACATGACTGAAACATCTACTTTAATTAATTCACAGATTCATTGCCTTACCAATCAAAAAGCCGAAGAGTTTATAAAATTAGACAAAAATCATAGCAAAATCCATTGAAGGAACAAAAAGGCACAAATCTCAAAGGAAAACAAAGAAAAAAAGTCGGAAGTAAAGTAGTTGCTTTGAGGTATTTCTCCCCCTGCCAAAACATCCAAACTTAGAGGGAAAGAATACATTGGCACAAAAATACTTAGAGCAGCACGTTTTTTAGCAGCAAAGAAATGGAAACAAAGTGGATTATCAACTGAGAAATGGCTGAACAAATTATAGCACATGAATTTAAATTAATACTATCAAGCTATTGATATAAATAATGATAAACGATTCACACAAATAATGAATATGAAAGATTCAGAGAATTATGGAAAGACTTGTATGATGTGATAGAAAGTTAAGTGAACAGAACAAGAAAATTTTACATGATAATTACAACACTGTAAAGGAAAATAACTTTGAAGACTTATGGATTTTTATCAATGAAATGATCAATCATGACTTCCCAAGACTGATGACAAGAAGTATGCTTCCTTGTTCTTGGTAGAAATTTGTAGATTGTAAGTACAAAGGAACACCTATATTTTTATATATAACTAATATATGCATCTGTTTTGCTTGACTAAACTTAATTTTTAGAAGCAAAGCATTTTATGTTGTTGCTGACAGAATTGAATTGTACATGTTATGTAATTGATAGAGATGCAAAAAAAAGTGTCAATGAAACTTAACAATATACAAAAGGGAGTAGAAGCATGTTCAGACAGAGATATAGACAAAGAAGGCAATATTGATTGATACTCCCAAATTTAATATAAAATTTTAAAAAAGAAAATCTATACATAATAGAGATTCACGGTTTCACATATGTCTCCCCTTTCTCTTCTCTGTATATGGAAATGTTAATAACAAAAAAGAAATTTGAAAAAATGAGTGGGAGTTGTAGAGAGGCAAATTTAAGTTCAAAGTATGAACAAATTTCCTAACAATTAGAGCTTGCCTTGAGAGATAATGAATTTCTCTTCACAAAACAGCTTCAAGAAAAGTCTGGATGACTACCTATTGGTGAAGTTGTAGTAGGGATTTGGACCAAAGTACTTTTCAATACTTAAATTCTGTGAAAGTGAAACCAGTAGTTTCTACTTTGACATAAAACAGAAAAACAGTCTCCTTTGTTCTATAAATATTAGAGGTAAACAATGAAATGATAATAGAAGACTGAAACTGGGTGAGGGAAATGAAGCAATAAGAGATCAAGTGAAACTGCAAAAGGTCAGACAAATAATTTTTTGGTAGAGGCTGAACTATAACCTAAACTCTTGATTCTTAAGCCAATGTTTTTTCCACTATACCTCAATGATTGCAAAAAGTGAACCAAATGCCAATGCAAAATATTAAAATTATTTATGTAAAGTCTAATTTATCAATTAAAAGACAAAAGAAATATATTTTTAAAACCATGAAAACTACCAATAATTGAGGTTCACGTTGCTCATCCACTGCTGGAAGTCCAGTTATTATTTCTAGCAAGACCTATGAAGAAAAATCAAAGACACAAATATAAATATTTAGGAAAACACACAAAAAAGTTCAATGAGAATGAAATTTGGTTCACTTTTTCCATACATAACATTCTTTCTACTATACTATAATAATAATGCTATCAAGGGTTGTCACTCGGTCACCTCCACTCCTGCACAGCCAAATGAACTAGATCCCACCCTGCTCTAGAAGTTTTTTCCTCCTCAAACGTTTAATGAATAATCAGTTCAACATTCTATGTATTTTATCTAAATGTGTAGGTGGGAAAGATATCAATTTGCTATTTAGGTTGGTAGGAGATTCTTTCTTCCCAGTTGTGTTCCCAGAAATAATTATTGCTCAGTATATTTTCTAAGATCTGAGGGATCTTACAATCTTGTATTTTATCTTGATGAACTGCCAACACAAAAGCATGATGCTGAATATGATAAAAATAAAACAAATTTCTCTTTTCCTAAAAGTTAACCAGAAGAAACTGGCAGATTACATTAAGTCAAAGCTAATTCCCTTTCTAAATATTAACTATCATTAAATTTTAATTTAATTGAATAAAATTATCATTTCCTAAAATTATATATTTTTTGTTTGACATATTTTATGCTTTTATTAGTGTTTAATAACAGTGCTAGGGGAAAAAAAACTATGACTGATGATTACATTAAAATAAGTAGGGGCTTCCACAGATAGGGCACAGGACCATGGCCAAGAGGTAGCACACTTGGGGTGTGAGAGTTCAGGACGAATGTGTACTTGGGCAGTTGCCACTCAATTTATTACCACCCAGAACATAAGGAAAAGTAAAGTGACACTGAGTTAGTACAGTGGAGGAGAAGAGGAAATAGGGCTATAGAGCACAGACAGATAGAATCTTAGCCATTCAGAGCCACTCATGTGAGGACACTGGCACAAGGTCTAAGGTCTATGGATGCCAGTGTTGACAGACTGTACCACTCTGGCAGAAGTCTTAATTGAAGCCACCTTAGGGTTAACTCATTTGCAAATCAGGCTAATTTGAGTAACCTGCTCCCTCAGGCGAGTCACACAGAAGGAATTTTTTACTACAGCCATTAAGGTCACAAAGCATAAGTAACTATTTTGTCCCATACTAACAATTAAAATTTTATATGTGGAAAGAAGATTTATGCCAAGTAGTGTTACTGCTGTGTCAAGTTTAGTCACTTTTTGGATATAGCTGCAAAAAGTTGTCCAGGATGGTTGAACAAATTCACAGGAGCACCTTTACTTTATGTGTCTGTCCTACCAAAGACCTTCTAAGAATTAGCATTTTCCTCTTCTGTTATTTTTACCAATCTGATAGGTATGAAATAGAACCTTAATGTTTTTTTTATTTGGTTTAGACTATTTTTTCCATATGGTTACTGATAGCTTACCTGTTTAAAATCCTTGATTATTTATCTCCTGGGAAAATTTTATTATAGAATGTCCCAAAAGTCTTAGTGCAGTTTTAAGCTTTAATAATTTAGAAGTATATTTGAAAGTTATTTAATTCCTTTCTTTACTTGATTTTACGAAATTTTGTATATAAAATTTGAATTTTAATAAGACCAGGAACTGTTTCATTGATGTATGATAGTTTCTGGATGACTCTTTCTCATACTGGTGAATCTTCAGAGGTTCTCTTGCTTAACCATCCTGGTCACCTGATCTATGTTAACTTTTTTCATGTGGAGCCACATCAAAACTGTTATTTACATATCAAAACCTCATTGTTTGGATGATATTAGGACTATGATTATAAATGCAATCCTTTCAGTCACTGAGCAGCAACTAGTGAAAGTTTTTACAAAGTTTGAAAATTAGAACAAGATATAACACAAGATAGTGGCTTTGTTGAATTTTAATATGATACATCAATATTTAAAAATTTTAAATAACCTCTCAATTTAAAAAAAAGTTTGTAGGATTTATACTTCTTATGTTGTTAAAGCTTAAAACTGCAATAAGGATTTCTGGGATAAAATATATGTTTGTATCAATTCTCTACGTCCTGTATATCAGACTTTCATCAGAGATAATTTTGTAAAGATTTTTCTCCAGTTAAGGACTTCCCTTCTAATTTCAACTGCATTGATTTTGTTTGTACAAAAGCTTTGTTATATCCAATCAAAACTGTTCATTTTATCTTTTATGATCATCTCTACTCCTTTTAGTTACAAAAAAAAAACTCACTCCTAATCATAGTTGGGATAGGCATCCTCTAATGTAAAATAAAAAATGATAAAATCTTTTCTATTTGGATCATATACCCATTTGGAGTTTATTATGATACATGTTGTGAGGCATGGGTCAAAGCCTAGTTTTCCCAAGCTGCTTTCTAGTTTTCCCTGCTAGTTTTATCAAATAAGGAAGTCTTACTGTAGAGTAACTCATATCTTTATATTTATCCAATACTATATTACTGTGTTTGATTGCTTTTGTCTTTTTGCTTAATCTGTTCCAATGATTAACTTTTCTTTTTTCAGTTTTGATAATTTCTGAAATATGGTATAAGATCTAGCATCCTAGATTTTTCCCATCTTTGTTAAGTCCCTTTCTTTCCTATATCAAAATTGTATTGCCTCTAGCACAGATCTCCTCTATGTATATGTAGTCTAATTTAGTTGCTTTTCTTGATCTGCTTTCTTTAGTCTGTACTACCTCTATAGAGGAATACATTTGAGACCGTAATTCCTGATGTTAAGAGTCCACACATAAAGTAACTGTACTGTCCTTGGTGATGAAAACAGTTTGTTACAAAAGTCTTTGCAGAGCTTTTCCATTTTTTCTCTTGTTTGTGGTCCTCCTTCCTTTTTCATCCTTTAATAACTTCAGAATGACTTGTCATGTCTGTGTCTTTTACTATGTTTTTTTTAAACTTGTTTTTACCTTCACTGATTCTGTTTTATGGTTTTCTAAAAATGTACAACATCTTTCTTTGTAAGATTTTACAAACAAATTAACACTCTAAGTAGATGTGTTGACTTCGACTTCAATCTCCACTTACAAAGTATTTGTCTTTCAGGTTCTTGCGATCTCCTTTTTATGGCAACTGATAGATAGAAGTTAAATATCTGTATAAAATTATTATAATTAGTGTCAATGTAACTTCTCCCATCTATTTCTCATTTTTGCCCATATATTCATCAGTAACTGAAATTATTTAAACAGGTCAAGACTGAGTTGTTTCCATTACACACCATAGCTTTATACTAACTAATCTTTTATCTAACAAGTCCATATTAGACTCCACATAGACAGTTAATTCAAGAATGACTCCTACATCAATAATTTAATTTCTCTCCTTTATAATCTTTTTTTATGGTTTTCAGTGTTCGACGTATCCAGTGCCTACTGACTCTTTTCCCTAAGAAAGTATTCAAGACAAAGAGACATGAGGGCTTCTGTGTACTTAACAAGTCATGGTTTCATATGATTGTAAGGAGAGTTAATGTGATCCTCTTTTTTCAATCCCATACATCTAGACAAAACAATTTTTTTAAAATTCAGGAAGAATAGCATTGCTAACAATTCCACATAAAACTTACCACACCAAAGCTATAAATGTCAGATTTAGGTGTTATCTCCCCTCGCAAAGCTTCAGGTGCCATATAGGCTGTGGTTCCCACAATTCTGCTAGTCATGACTGTTTGGTTAAACTTTGCAGAAGTTCGTGAAAGTCCAAAGTCAGAAATCTTGGGTATGAAGTCCTCATCAAGTAAAATATTTGCACTGGAAAAAATTTAAATGTTATGAAAAAAACTTCCCAATCAGGTAAAACCACTGATTACATAATTGTTAAATAATACTTTGAACTTCATAAATAAGAACAATATATATTCAGAGTGAAAAGGGTACTTAGAGATCATCTAGTCCAACTCCCTCATCTTATCCAAAGTGTATAAAAAAAAACCCAAGAATTTAGAGCACAGTTGAAATGGAACAGTTGCCATCATTTCTTTTTTACTTTTTGAATAAAAAAAATCTAATGTTTCATGCTTGTTGTTCCTTATAAAATTTATTACAGGTCCACTATGCTTTTAAACTAGGATTCACAATACCTTTCCAAAAATCTCTCAACTCCTTTACAATTTATATTCCTAAACAAACACAGATCCTAAAAAAATATTTTTTTCAACATCCTATTCAGTTCCTTCGCTCATCAGTTTTTTTCTTAGAACATACAATATTTTAAGGATAACAAATATAGGTAAAATTTAAAGACTTTATTTTAAAAAAACTTTAATGGAAGAATTTACCTTTTAATATCTCTATGAACATGATTGTTTGCATGTAAGTAGTAGATGCCATTAGCTGTACCTTGAGCAATTTTGCATCGTGTATGCCAGGAAAGTGGTGCAGTGCCATCCTTAAAATGGAAAACAAAAAGGAAGAAGAAAAAAAAAGAAAACAGACAGTAAATAAACAGTTGAACAACAAGTCATATGAACAGTAAATACAGAAATATTTAATTTACTTTTGGTTGCTAAAAAAAAGAATTATTTTACATGAAATAAGCAATTTCTATTCACCAGGATAGTGCTAAGTTTAATTCTAAAAGTTAAGAATATTTTCTCTAAGCAATTGTAAAATTTTATCGAAGATCAAACTGTATGCAAATCACATTATCTCTAATTTTAATCTAATTTGAATATGATACTGATCTCTTCTAACACTCTCTAATATTTTTATATCCTGAAATTTCAGGAGGATTCAAAGGAGAATAGAGAAATGAGTGTTGAGTCCAAGTATGCTGTGACATGATAAAACAATAACATGTGTACAAGAAGTTGCATAATGGATATTTTTTGGTACTGTTAAAATTAATTATCTGAAATAGAAAATAATTCTGAGGTACTAAGTTTCTGAGTAATACTGATTTAATAATAACAGTCGAGAGGTTATCATTAAGTCAAGTCAACTAATCTCTCAGTAATTAGTAACTAAGGAGTGATTTACAGAGCTTATTTTTATAAGAGAAAGAGGAATTAAAAAATACAGCGATCTTAGGAAACTTGTTTTCAACACAATTCAATTGGACAAGTCAGGTCATTTGACTAGTTCATTTCTCTCTGGCTTTCATAATGCAAATTTCTACTGCTGGCAACATTTAGCAATCAAAGTGAGATTACCTTAGGAATCTCTGCCCTGCACCTACAGCATTTTGTAAACAGAAAGCTTATTTTAAAGGGGCTTATAGTTTGAACTAAAACTGGGAAAGAGGAACTTCTGGTTTTTAGTTAGCAATCACCCTACTACTCCCTGCTCCCCATCCTCCAGTTGTCAGAAAGGGAAATCCAACCTTAGAACATTACACTACTCAACCTATACTTAATCTCTAGCTCAAGGAAAAAAAAAAAAGGAGCGTATCCACTAAGATTGGAAAGAGGAACTTAACCTTTAATCAACCCCACTTTCTCTAGCTGCCAGAAAAGGGAACTTAGCCTTTAAAAAGAATCTTATAACCCTATGATTCTTTTATTCCTACAAAGATATATATCTTACTCTATATTATCCGCTACTAAATGATAAAGTCTTATTAATCTATCCACTCACTAAATCTATAGGTAACAAAGACGTAAGAGAATATGTTAGTTTGGTTTAGCTATTAGGGATAGCTTTTCCTAAAGAAAGGAGCTTAATCGAACAATCAAACTAAAAACAAGTCAAATCCATACTAATCAATACTAACGGATTTAGAGGGTATTCTTTTTCAGTACAGATCTGTGGTTTCAACAGTGTAGGGTACTTCAGTAAAGAAATTATTTTTGACAAAGTAGACCAGCAAATGTTCTCCCAAATAGAATCTTACAGCGTATTTGCTCACAGTGTAGCTATCTACCAATTCACACATCTAGTTGCTTGGGGAATAAATACCTGAGGTCTGTGAATCCATATTCCTGAAACTATAGTTTTTTTGTCCTTTCTACTCATCCCTCACAAAAACTCAGCCCCAGATTACTCCCATCATCTAAATCCTCTGTGCCTGGTCACGTGCTTCTGAACAGAGCTGGGGAAAGTCACAAAAGTGCTTATTGGCTACACTACAAATTCATGTTGCCCAGCTTCAGCTGGGCCCTAATCACTACAGCAAAGTTCTTTTTATTCCTCCCTAACTGGCTTTCTCACTCATCTAAAAAGTTTTTCCAAACCTCTTCAACTCAAACTTCTTCTACCTGAACATCTCTTAGCTGAAGATCTCACCTCATACTTTACTGAGAAAAGGTTATTCAACGTGAGCACTCTCTTCTCCCCCTCTCTATATCCCAAAACTCTTTGACATCATTTCCCAGTCTCCCTTCTATTCTCCTGACAACGAGGTGGCCCTTCTCCTTCCCAAAGCATATGCCGTAGGTCCCATTGCCTCCTGTCTTTTCCAGCATATTGCAACCTTACTCCCTTCTCTAGGCTTTTACCTCTATCAACTGTTTCCTTCCTTTCTACCTTCAAGAATGTCCAAGTCTTCTCCATCCTTTAAAAATCTTCACCAGACACCATCCCCTTAAGCAATCAGTCTAAATTTCTCTTGTGGTTCTTTTGGTCAAGCACATAGGGGTGAAAAAGCTGTTTACACTTGTTACATCTACTTTCTCCCCTCTTGCTCTCTTCAACCCCCTATAATCTAGCTTTTAAGATTGCATCACTCACTGGAAACTGGTGTCCCCAGTTATCATGAAAGCTTTTATTCTTTAATAGTATTATTTTTCCAATTACACGTAAAGATAATTTTTAACATTGTAAAATTTTGAGTTCCAAATTTTTCTCTCTCCATCCGGACTTTCCCGCTCTCCAAGACAGCAAGCAATCTGATATAGGTTATACATGTACAATCATGTTAAAGATATTTCCACATTAGTCATGTTGTAAAAGAAGAATCCAAACAAAAGGGGGAAAGCATGAGAAAGATAAAAAAACAAAATAAAAGTGAAAATAGTATGCTTCAACTTGCATTCAGACTCCATAGTTCCTTCTTTGGATATGGTTACCATTTTCCATCATGGGTCTTTTGAAATTGTCTTGGAACAGTTGCTGAGAAGACTAAGTCAATAGTTGATCACACAATGTTGCTGTTACTGTGTACAACATTCTCCTAGTTCTGCTCCCTTCATTCAGCATCAGTCCAAGCAAGTTTTATCAGGTTTTTCTGAAATCCACCTGCTCATCATATCTTACAGCACAATAGTGTTCTATTATATCCATATACCATAACATATTCAGCTATCTCCCAACTGATAGGCATCCCCTTAATTTCCAATTCTTGGCCATCACAAAAAGAGCTAATATAAATAATTTTGTATATGTGAGTCTTTTTCACTATTTTATGATCTCTTTGGGATACTGACCTAGAAGTGATATTGCTGGGTCAAAGGGTCCACACAGTTTTATAATCCTTTGGGCCCAGTTCCAAATTGCTCTCCAGAATGATTCGATCAATTAACAATTTCAAAAAAATTCATTAGTGTTCCAATTTTCCACATCTCCAACATTTATCATTTTCCTTTTTTTGTCACATTAGCCAATATGGTAAGTGTGATAAGTGTAATTCAGAGCTGTTTTAATTTGCATTTCTCTAATCAATAGCGATTTAGAGCATTTTTTCTAATGACTATAGATAGTTTTAATTTCTTCGTCTAAAACTGCCTGTTTATGTCCTTTCACCATTTATCAATTGAGGAATGACTTGTATTTTTATAAATTTGACTCAGTTTTCTATGTATTTCAGAAATGAGGCCTTTATATGAAACACTGGCTGTAAATATTATTTCCTAGCTTTCTGCTTTCCTTCTAATCTTGGTTGCACTGGTTTTCTTTCTGCAAAACCTTTTTAATTTAAAGTAATCAAAATTATCTATTTTCATTTCATAATGTTCTTATCTCTTATTTAGTCATAAATTCTTCCCTTCTCCATAGATCTAACAGGTAAGCTATTCCTTGCTCTCCTAATTTGCTTATGGTATCATCCCCTATGTCTAAATCACGTACCCATTTAGACCTTATCATATAGGGTGCGAAATGTTGATCTATGCCTAGGTCCTGCCATACTATTTTCCAGTTTTCCCAGCATTTTTTGTCAAATAGGGAATTCTTATCCCAGAAGCTGGAATCTTTGGGTTTATCAAACAGTAGATTACTATGGTCAGACTATTGTGTCTTGTATACCTAACGCATTCCACTAATCTACCATTCTATTTCTTAGCCAGTACCAAGTAGTTTTGATAACTGCTGCTTTATAATACAATTTTACATCTGGTATGGCCAGGCCACCTTTCTTTGCATTTTTTTTCATTAATTCCCTTGATATTCTTGACATTTTGTTCTTCTAGATGAATTTTATTATTTTTTCTAGATCTATAAAATAATTTTTGGTAGTTTGATTGGCAGGTCATTGAATAAATAAATTAATTTAGGTAGAATTGTCATTTTTATTGTATTAGCTCAGCCTACCCATGAGCAATTGATATCTTTCCAATTGTTTAGATCTGACTTTGTGTGAAAAGTGTTTCGTAATTGTGTTCATATAGTTCCTGGGTTTGTCTTGGCATGTAGACTCCCAAATATTTTACAATCTACAGTTATTTTTAATAGAATTTCTCTATCCTTGCTGCTGGGTTCTGTTGGTAACCTGTAGAAATGCTGATCATTTATATGGGTTTATTTTGTATCCTGTAACTTTGCTAAAGTTGTTCACTGTTTAAAGTAGTTTTTTAGTTGATTCTTTAGGATTCTCTAAGCATCATATCATCTGCAAAGAGTGACAGTTTTGTTTCCTCATTACCTATTCTAATTCCTTCAATTTCTTTTCCTTCTCTTATTGCTAAAGCTAACATTTCTAGTACAATATTGAATAACAGTGATAATGGGCATCCTTGTTTCACCCCTGATCTTATTAGGAATGCTTTTAGCTTATCCCCATTACATATAATGCTAGCTGATGGTTTTAGATAGATACTGCTTATCATTTTAAGGAAGATTCCATTTATCCCTATGCTCCCTAGTGTTTTTAATAGGAATGGGTGTTGTATTTTGCAAAAGCCTTTTCTGCATCTATTGATATAATCACATGTTTTCTGTTAGTTATGTTATTGATATGGTCAATTATGCTGATAGTTTTCCTAATATTGAAACAGCCATGCAATCCTGGTATAAATCCCACCTGGTCATAGTGTATTATCCTAGTGATAAACTGCTATAATTTCTTTGCTAATACTTTATTTAAATTTTTTGCATTAACATTCATTAGGGAAATTGATCTATAATTCTCTTTCTGTTTTGGCTCTTCCTGGTTTAAATATTAACACTATATTCGTATCATAAAAGGAATCTGGTGGGATTCCTTTTTCACCTATTTTTCCAAATAGTTTATGTAGT